CAAGGATCTATGGTAGCCTAGGGTAGGGCCTACCCAAGGCCCTAGAAGGCAGGGCTGAACCTAAACGGTGTTTTTCGTTTTCGTTTTGTTTTCGTTTTCCCTCGTGTTGTCTTCAATCCGCCTTTAACGCAAAACGAAATCGAAACGAAAACAGCCCCAAAAATCGCCAAAGCATCGTTTAGGTCCACCCCTGACCTAGGGGTAGGCCTAGCGGTAAGCCTAAGGGAGGGGCCTACGGGTCGGCCGAGGCCTGGCGGAAAAGCCCAGGGGTAGGCGCATGGACAAACCAGCCAGCTCGAACGAGTCAACGGGGCCCACCCGGTCCAACGCGCCCTCCCGCGACACAAGAAGAAGTTCCGACGCAAGTGGGGCGCCCAACCCCGGCCGCGCATTTTGCTATGAGCGCGCCCGACCATCCAACTTGAATTCGGAAACCGTTCATGTTCTTCGTTTGTGCGCGATGTACGTCCAGCTGGCGGACCATTAAAAAGTGGGGCGTGCACGAGCGAGCACGCGCGAAACCTAACGGGCGGATCGGGTCGAGCGGGCGGACCCTAACGGGCGGTTCGGGTCGGGTCGGGCGTACCCTAAGGGGCGGGTCGGGTCGGGCGGGCGGACCATTGATGTAGGGAATACACGAGCGAACACACGTGAACCCTAACGGGCGGGTCGGGTCGGGCGAGCGTACCCTAACTGGCGGGTCGGGTCGGGCGGGCGGACCCTAGCGGCCTGGTCGGGTCGAAAGTGCGAGGCATATACGAGCGAGCACGCGCGAACCCCAACGGGCGGGTCGGGCGGGGCGGGTGGACCCCAAAACGCGGGTCGGGTCAAGCGAGCGGACCGTAGCGGGCGGGTCGGGTCGGGCAGGCGCAACATTTAACTGCGGGGCGTACGTGAGCGAGCACGCGTGAGACCTGATGGGCAAATCGGGTCGAGCAGGCGGACTCTAGCCAGCGGCTCTGGTCGGGCGGGCGGACCCTAGCGGGCGGGTCGGGTCGGGCGGGCGGGACATTAAAATGTGGGGCATGCACGAGTGAGCGCTCGTGAACCTTGACGGGCGGGTCGGGTCGGGCGGGCGGACCCTGACGGGTGGGTGAGGGGCATACACGAGCGAGTACGCGCGAATCTTAACGGGCGTGTCGGGTCGGGCGGGCGGACCCTAACGGAAGGGTCGGGTCGGGCGGGCGTACCCGAACGGGCGGGTCGGGTCGGGCGGGCGGGACGCGAAAGTGCGGGGCACATATGAGCGAGCACGCGTGAACCCCAATGGGCGGGTCGGTCCAGGCGGGCGGATCCCAACGGGCGGGTCGGGTCGGGTCGGGACCCTGGCGGGCGGGTCGGGCCGGGCGGGCGGAGCATTGAAGTGTAGGGCGTATACGAGCGAGCACGCGTGAACCCTAACGGGCGGATCGGGTCGGGCGGGCGGACCCTGACGGGCGGGAGGGGTCGGGTCGGGCGGGACATTAGAGCGCGAGGCATACACAAGCGAGCACGCGCGAACCGCGGGCGGGTCGGGAAGTGCCTAGGGGTAGGCCTAAGGTAGGCCTAGGCCTAGGGTAGGCCTAGGTGAGGGGCCTAAGGGTAAGCCCATGGTAGGCCCAGGGGAAGGGCCTAGGGATCGGCCTAGGGGAAGGGATAGGCCTAGGGATAGGCCTAGAGATAAGCCTAAGGTAGGCCTAAGGGAAGGGCCTAGGGGTAGGCCTAGGGGTAGGCCTAGGGAAGGCCTAGGGAAAGGGCCTAGGAATAGGCCTAGGGAAGGCCTAGGGGAAGGGCCTGGGGTAGCCTTAGGGTAGGCCCAGGGGAAGGGCCTAGGGGTAGGCCTAGGGTAGGCCTAGGGGAAGGGCCTAGGGGTAGGCCTAGGGTACGCCTAGGGGAAGGGCATAGGGGTAGGCCTAGGGTAGGCCTAGGGGAAGGGCCTAGGGAAAGTAGGTCTAGGGTAAGACTAAGGGAAGGGCCTAGGGGTAGGCCTAGGGTAGGCCTAGGGGAAGTGCCTAGGGGTAGGCCTAGGAAAGGCCGTCCCTCCGGGTTCTGTAAGGCGACTGCACCCAACATGCTACAGGGGAAATGAAGCATCTTTGGAACATGACACTCGGCCAGGACTTGATGGACCGCGGGACGGGACTCGATCCTAACGTGTTTTGTGTTACAGGCGGAACTTGCTCGATCCTCATCTGAAAACGCGAAGCTAAGAATACTCTTGGGTGAGATCAAATCCCGTCCCGCCACAGCAGCGACTCTAAATTAGCACTCTAAGGGGGATGGGGGGTCATCATAATGGTCGCGATGATGACCATGACCCATCCACATTGGTCACCATGGTCACGTCATCATGGCGGTGCTAAATGCTAAGCATCATGATACTGACCGTGATCGTCACTATCAACTCGACGGTCGCTAACAACGTAACCGTGGTCGTCACGGCCATGACAGTCTCTGGCAGTTAGACAATCATTGGCCAGATGCCGAACGCGCGAGCGAGTCAACAGAAGAAGAAAAAACACCATTGACATAAACTTGCTTATGGCGTGTTTTCTGATTCGAATCTACCCCGCGCGAAACCCGTCAACAAATGCAAGGAGCTTTGCCTCCACCGCACGAATGGATGAAGCAAGGCACGCGGTAGACCCGTAGGCCGGCAACCGCTGCACGTGCAGAAGCTGTGTTCCTGCTCGTGCCGAAACGCACGTTCAGAGTACTGTGCTTTGCTTCTGAGTCGTGGCAGCGCGGCTCGGGGAACTGAGGAAGACCCCATGCTCATGTATACTGCCACTTCGAGCTCAGGGCACGTCAGGCGTGGGCCGGCTCTCAGGCCGCTACATCTGCGCACTGCGACGCACATGCGATGGGCCTGCTGCTGCCAGAGAGAACAAGCGCGCTCCCTCGATTAGCTCAGGAGTTAAAGGTTGGATCTAAAGTGGCGACGAGAAGCAAGACCAGAAACACCAGGTCTGAGCCTTGCCTTGACATGCCCGGAAACGTTGGACGCCATGCCGAACAGCAAACGCTGTCCAAAACCGACATGCTGTTGGGCAGGCGACTTCACAGTCTCGAGAGGACTACGCCCGCGGCGACACCGACAGTGAGTCCTGCTCAGCCCGAACAGGCGCTGCTGTCGGTCATCCCTTCCCGTTCCGTGCCCACTTCGAACTTACCGACCGCCCCCCTCCACTTCTTCTCCTGCACGTAGCGGCCCATGTCTCTGTGTAGCGTGGTGAGCTCTGGCTCGTGCTCCTCCAGGGACCCGACCACCTGCGGCGGAGAGGAGGAAGGAGGAGGATGAGAAGGGAAGAAGAAAGGAGGAGGAGGGGGATGAGGAGGAGGAGGAGGAGGAGGAGGAAGAGCAGGAGGAGGGAAACAAAAAGTAGAAGGACGAGGATGAGGAGGAGGAGTAGAAGGAGCAAGGAGGCGAAGGAGGAGGAGGAGGAGGAGGAGGAGGAGGAGGAGGAGGAGGAGGAGAGGGAGGAGGAAGAGGAAGAGGAGGAGGAGGAACGACGAGAAGGAGACGGAAGAGAAGTTGGAAGGATGAGGAGGAGGAGGAGGAGGAGGAGGAGGAGGAGGAGGAGGAGAGGAGGAGGAGGAGAGGAGGAGGAGGAGGAGAGGCCCAGAGCAGGGGCAGAAGGTTGAGGAAAACACCCTAGGATAGAGGAGAGGGAGGCGAAGATGAGGACGAGGGACACAAGAAAAAAGGAGGACGAGGAGAAGGAGGAGGAGGACGACGAGGAGGAGGAGGACGAGGAGGAGGACGAGGAGGAGGAGGAGGAGGGGGAGGGGGAAGGGGGAAGTGCAGGGGAACGAGGAACTGTGAGGAGGAGGAGGAGGAGGAGGAGGAAAGGGGGAAAGCAGGAGGAGGAGGAAAAGGAGGGGGGGAGTGCAGGAGCAAGTGCAGGGGCAAGCAAAGCTGGTTCATACCAAGGCCCCCGGGTCAGCACAAACGGTGAGATTACATTATTGGGCTCCGGCTTCCAACTTCTTCCGTGTACGGATCCCTTTCTGTGGCCCGCTTGGCGAAAGAATGCGTATCCCTTCACCCATCTAGTCGTACGTATCCGAAACAACCCCCTCGCCCCACTCTTCCCATGTTTGGGTCGGGGCGCCTTTGGGAGCCCTTTCGAAAACCTGCTCGGATGCTCGTGGAACCTTGCTTTGGGCCGTTTATTGGGGCTTCTTGGGGCTTCTCGGGGCCCTCCTGGGTCTGTTTGAAGTATGAATGACAATCCATGATAGGCCAGGCCTCGGAGTTGAGGGTTTCGGAAGGGCCTCTGGGGGGCCTCGTGGGGCCATCTTGGGGCTCTCTTGGGGTGCTCTTGGAGTGCTCCTGGGGATTCCTTCGGGCCTTCTGGCCCCAAGCAGCCTCTTGGGCCCCGGAGACGTTTGGGCCACGTCGGGCCACCGCCAGGCCCGAGGTGCCGTCCGGAGCCGAGAAGGTGAGAAGGAGAAAACCACCTGCGCCAGCAGGTGCTTCGCGCTGCTGGCATTTCGGGGGTGAGGCTCCAGGGCCACCTCAACTGGCCATCGCTCGGACGTCCATGCCCTGTGTTTTTTCCGGTTTCGCGCGTGGCTCTTTCGCCAAGCGATCAAGGATGCTCCTCGATGGTCCTCGCCGAAGGAAAAATGCACACGTCCGAGCGATGCCAAGTCGAAGACAGACTGGGGTCCTCTTCCTGTGGGCCTCCGAGGCCGCGCTGCCTGCTGGGGGGCCGCCGGGCGCCATCTCAGAGAGGCCGGCCGTGCCTCGCCCCGGCGTGCCACCGCGGGCGAGAAGCAGCGCCACGAGGCGTGTGGGGCTCACGGGAGGGGGCCGCGGCGACCAGGTGGGAGTCCCCGCGCAGAGGTTTGGGCCAGGAGGTCTCGCGAGGGTGAAGGATTGCAAAAAAACCCTTGAACGAAGGATTGCAAAAAAACCCTTCGAAGGATTGCAAAAAAACCCTTGCAATCCTTGGTTTTTTTGCAATCCTTGGACGAAGGATTGCAAAAAAACCCTTGGTTGTTTTGCAATCCTTGGTTTTTTTGCAATCCTTCGATAAACAGTGCTTGTTGGTCCTCGCGCGAGCTTGCCTCGCGGGGTGTGCAGTCATTCAGGCGCGCGGCCAGCGGTGAGGCGGTGCGGGGGGGCGCAGGGGTGGAGGGGGGGCAGAGGGTCTGGATACTCAGTACTGCGACGTGTGGCCCTGGGAGCGGGGCGGTGCAGCATCAGGGGAGGTCCCTCCGCGGAGGTCTGGGCCAGGAGGTCCCAAGGGGTTGGATCGGCCCAGTTTGTTCCTGAAGGTTCCAAGATAACTCAAGCTAAACCTGGATGGTATCCAAGACGGCACTAGGTGGCACTAATGGGCGCGAGATGGCCACCAGTATGACACCATGAGGCCCGAAAACAGTCCGATGGCGGCTCGAGGTGGCTGTGGAGACTGCCAAAGACGCTCCCGAAACGTCCAGACCATTGGAAAAAACGGAAGCTTCGATAACGTTCGCCTTCTGACGACGGGCCTCCTAGGCCTCGGAGGACTCCGACGAGCAGCAATGACCGCAAGAGGGCCCAGGTGGGCCCAAAGAATGCCCGAGAGGCCCACAAGAGCACCAAAGACAGGCCCCGAAAGCACCCAACGGCGAAGCCAGCCAAGACCGTCGCCAAGGCTTGCCCTACGAATGCCCCCAAGGACGAGGTCCGAGCGCCCCCGCCTCTGAGACCACCACGGGAAGTACTCCAGAATGCTCGCATTCCCCTCTGACCACAAGGTACATGGATTCAATGTCAAGGATTGGGAATGGGGCCCCCCCTTGTCCAGTTCGATGACCTCGAATATGGCCACAATAAGTCCCTCAAGGCTTTCTTTGAAGAGGACCACAAGAGAACACGAGAATCACCCACAGAGGGTCAACAGAGGGTCCCAAGAAGGTCCCGAGAGGCGTTGCTTCGTTGTCCGAAGGGGCAACGCCAATTGACGCAGCCCATCTTTATGAGTCGATGGTCTTCAGCATGGCCCGAAGATGGCCATCAAGGCCTCAAGACGGTCCGTAAGGGTCCATGAGGCTCCGAGAGAAACCCAAAGGAGGACTCATAGGGGCTCGGTGGACTGATCCCTCCGTTGGTTTCACTGGTGTCCCATATTAGTTTTCACCCATGCTTACCGATTTCCCTTTTCATGACAGCAGCCCCAGGAATAGTTTCTGGATGGGCAGGTGGAGAAAAAGCTGAGCGCCAATCCCATCGTGCAAGCTGGGTGAACTGCGCCTACAAATCCGTGCAGCGCGAGCGACTCAGAGGCATCCGACGAGGAAACGAGAAGCGGGACCATTATGAGCTGCAGCGTGGGAGCAGAGGGCGGAGGGAGGAAGGGACGAGCAGGGGAGCAGCAGCAGCAGCAGCAGCAGCAGCAGCAGCAGCAGCAGCTGGATGGCTATGATGCGAAAGGGTACTGCGACCAAACGACCTAAACCATCGGGCAGGGACGGCTGCGGCCTGGCGGCAACAACGCGACGACGCCGCCGCCGCCCGCCGCCGCCCGCCGCCGCCGCCGCCGCCGACGACGACGACGACGGCGAACCGAGAATCCCACCAGCCCCTCAGGGCGCGAGTGGTTTAGAGCGCTTCCTCGTCCAACCCCGCGTCGTCCCCTTCGGGGGGGAGCTCTTGAGAGGGAGGGGAGGGGGACAAGGGCGAAGAGAGGGAAGGAAGCGAGGAGGAGGAGGAGGAGGAGGAGGAAGAGAAGAAGAGAAGACGAGAACGAGAGGAGCTCACCGCTGCCCCTATCCCCTCCCCCACGGTCCTGGAGGGGGCGCTTCGACACGAACGCTGGAGCGTCCAGCACGGCGTCGGCCTCTGACTCGACTGAGATGTGAGCAGCAGTTTGGCCTCCTGGGGGGGGGGCATGAGTTTACTGCGGCCCTCCTTTGATCGATCTCCTCCGAGATGGCCCCAAGATGGCCCCCCGAGGCTCCCACTAGTGCCCCAAGAGGGCCCCAGAGGCGCTCAGGAGCGCCCCAAGAGGCCCCGAAGAGGCCCCCGAGTTGCCTCCAAGAGGCCCCTAAGAGGCCCCCAAGAGGCCCGAAGAGGCTCCCCCAAGGCACCCAAGACGCTTCAAGAGACCACCGGGACCGCCACGAGGCCCCCAAGAGGCCCCAAGAGTCCTGCAAGAAGCTCTCAAGAGACATCCGACGAGACTCCGAGAAGCATCCGAGTGGACTTTGGCATTTCTGCTCGCCCTCCTCTCCCTTGCCTCCTCCTCCTCCTCCTCCTCCTCGTCCTGCTCATCATCATCATCATCATCATCATCATCATCATCATCATCATCATCATCATCATCATCATCATCATCATCATCATCATCATCATCATCATCATCATCATCATCATCATCATCATCATCATCATCATCATCATCATCATCATCATCATCATCATCATCATCATCATCATCATCGTCGTCGTCGTCATCATCATCATCAGCATCATCAGCATCATCAGCATCAGCAGCATCAGCATTAGCATCAGCATCATCATCATCATCATCATCATCATCATCAGCAGCATCAGCATCAGCATCATCATCTTCATCAGCATCATCATCAGCATCAGCATCAGCATCAGCATCAGCATCAGCATCAGCATCATAATCATCATCATCAGGATCAGCATCAGCATCATCATCATCATAATCATCATCATCAGCAGCAGCAGCATCAGCATCAGCATCATCATAATCAGCATCATCAGCAACAGTAGCATCATCAACAACGTCATCATCATCAGCAGCATCATCAGCATCATCATCAGCATCATCATACTCATCATCATCATCATCATCATCATCATCATCATCATCATCATCATCATCATAATCATCATCATCATCATCAGCAGCAGCAGCAGCAGCCAGCATCATCATGATCATCATCGCCATTATCATCATCATCATCATCATCATCATCATCATCAGCAGCAGCATCATCCTCATCATCCTCCTCATCCTCCTCATCATCATCAGCATCATCGTCAGCATCAGCATCAGCATCAGCAGCAGCAGCACCATCAACATCATCATCATCATCAGAATCATCATCATCATCATCATCATCATCATCATCATCATCATCATCAGCATCATCATCAGCATCATCATCCGCCTAATCCTCCTCATCCTCCCTCCTCCTCCTCCTCCTCCTCCTCCTCCTCCTCCTCCTCCTCCTCCGCCTCCTCCTCCTCCTTTGGTTCCTCTCCCATCCTCCCCCTCTTAGGGGTATAACGGCTTCCCAGCCATTCTGCCACTGCGTGCTCCCCCACCTTGCCTGATCAGGGCAACCCGCCTGGGCATCGTTTCTGGATGGGCTCTGTTGGGGTTGCGCGAAGCGTCCAGAATAGATGTTGCATCGTCCGCTTCCTCGCGGTGCGCTGCCACCCCTCCCCGCGAGGCATGTCTTCATCGCTCGGTCGCACGCACAAGGAAGACGAGGTGGGAGGAAAGAGGCAGGAGGTAGGAGGCCTGGAAATGGGCACCAACACCAACACAAGGGGTTGCCTCCACAGGGGGAAGACGATCCTGGATTTCGGTGCTGGTGGCAATACTTCGGCCACCTCGGAAGCCAGAACATGACCACCATCACCGAGATCGGGATCGGCTTCCCCCGGTGGAGGCACACCGCCGATCTTGGTGTTGGTGTCAACCTCTAGGCCTTCGAGGAGGAGGCAAGGCAGGCAAGGTCGTCTGCCAGAGCACGCCAGATGAGCGGACCAGCCAGCGCAGCGGGGACGACGGGCGACGCCGCTCGACCAGGCCCGCGCGGCATCCGCGAGCGCACGGGCTTGAGCCGTCCAGTCTCTCCCCGCAGCTGGCTCGGCTCGAGTTCCTGGAGAGGGGAAGCGGCCATTACCGCCGAGCCTCCACAGGGCACGTCTCGAGCATCGTTTGACCGATCCCTATCCCCACGAGCGTGGCCGGGGCCCCACTGGCCGATTTGTCCCCCTAGACAGGGGATAGAGGCTGTTCCCGTCGAGCTTCGAGAGGCATATCCCCAACTGGGGTGGTGGGATGGTGGGTGGGGATCTGGACGGGGATGGAGAAGGGGATGGGGATCGGTGAAACGATGCTCACACCTGGGTCCCAGAGCTTGGTAGACGTCGGCCCCGGGCCAGGCTGGGAGTCGGGAGGCAGCGTCCGCCAAGACGACCAGGATCCGATCCCGAGGAGGAGGAGGAGGAGGAGGAGGAGGAGGAGGGCATGGGCCCGCGGGGGCCCTGGCGGTGCTGGTCGGCTCCCCTCTCGCCCGAGCTCAAGCAGTCGAATTGCACATGCACTTGAGCTGCGCCCGTCGCCCACTCAGACAGGGGAGGACGCCAACGGAACGACGAGAAGACAAGGGGCCCTGACTTCGGTTGGCCCAAAAGGGGGTCCAGCTGAAGGGGGGGGACCATAGGTTTGGGGCAAGTGTGTTGCAAATGTACTGCGCCAGAGAATTGGCTTGCACTGTGTTGCAACTCGTGTATTGCACGCGACAGCCCAGCAATTCATTTGCACACCTGGATGTATTGCACGCCCCAAAACTACGGCAACCTCACAGACCTATTGCACCCTGATCTATTGCACCACCCTCTTTTCGCTGGACCCCCCTTTGGGGCCAACCATACTTACGCAAAACGGCATTGCGACCTTACGCGACAGCTTACGCGGGCCGCCAGCGCGGCACGCCACACCGGAAACGAGGGCGCTCGCGCGCGACCTTGCAAGCGGGCAGCTCGCGCGCGAATGCCCGCCCAGACCCCGTTGCTTTACGTCGCTCAGGCCCGTGCAGCGACGCCGACCCTGCCCGGGAACACTCTACCCCTGGGATCGGCGTGTGGGAGCGCCTCCCTGGCTGCGCGCCTACACTTCGGTCGGGCATGCCCTTCTGCAGGCGGACTTGGGAGGAAACACCAAACGGACCCAACGGCATGAGAACCAAAAATGGTCGAAGAATCGACCCGTGTTGTCTGACAATTCTCGCACACTCCTCCCGTCGAGGGACACGCCCGAGGGAAGTCTGCACCGACCCCGGGCCGTGGGCGGGCCACCGGGCAGCAGCGGTGTCGGCGTGCGGTCCCTGCACGCCTCCGACGTCGCAGCCTGGTCACGATACTGGGCCTGTTTTCCACCACCCCCACCACCACCACCACCACCACCACCATACGCTGGCTGGGGGGAGGGAGGAGGAGGACGAGGAGGAGGACCAAGAGGAGGAAGAGGAGGAGGAGGAGGACGAGGAGGACGAAGAGGAGGAAGAGGAGGAGGAGGACGAAGAGGAGGAGGAGGAGGAGGAGGACCCCCTCCACCTCCAATGTATGGTGGTGGTGGTGGGAAACAAGCCCGTCACACGATGTGGGTCCCCAGAGTTCCTGGCCCCATCCCCGAGAGCGGTTGCCGCCGCGCGTCGCTGCCTGATGGCCCACTGGGCCCGAAAGGAACCTCCAAACGAGACGCCCCAGCTCACCTTGGGGAAGCTGGCCGCCCCGGCCCTGCTCCCGCACGACGACAGGAGGCCTTGCGTGCTGGCGTCCTCTGGTCAGACCGGGTCGGCGCGTGAACGCGCCATCTCCCGCCCGTACCACTCGCTCGCCCTGATCACGTCGGGGGGCGCTGACTTCGGAGGGCGCCCAGGGAGCAGCGGAGGAGGAGCAGGAGCAGGAGGAGGCAGGAGGAGGCGGGAGGAGGCAGGAGGAGGCGGACGAGGAGGCGGACGAGGAGGCGGACGAGGAGGCGGACGAGGAGGCGGACGAGGAGGCAGAAGAGGACAGGAGAGGATATAGGAGAGAAGTAGGAGGAGGGGGGAGCAGGAGGGGCAGTAGCAGCAGGGGCAGGGGGAGCCGAGGGGACGAGGAGGAGGATAAGAGGAGAAGGGGGAGACAGTAGAGGGGTGGGAGGACGAGGCGGCGGAGGAAAGCCCACGAGCGGGGGGGAAGAGGGGGTGAGGATGAGGAAAAGGGGGAGAGAAGGAGGAGGAGGGATGGCAGATAGGGAAGGGAGCGAGGGGGAAGAGGATGAAGAGAAATGGGGAGGGCCAGGGATCTAGGCTCTGGCTCCGAAGCCTCTTCGAGGGGCGGAACCCCGAACCAGACACCAAGTCTGCGCAGCCCTGTCCTCGTTTGGTCCAGTCAGGGCTCTCTGCCCCTTGGCATACCCCCTCTTAGTACGGTTTGTGCCTTTCGTGCCGATCTGCCTCCTCCTCCTCCTCCTCCCTCCCTTCCTCCCTCCCTCCCGCCCTCCCACCCTCCCTCCCCCCCTCCCGCTCTCCCTCCTCCTCCCACCTCCCTCCTCCCACCTCACCTCCCACCCTCCCACCTCCCACCTCCCACCTCCCCTCCCTCCTCCCTCCTCCTCCTCCTCCCTCCTCCCTCCTCCCTCCTCCCTCCTCCCCTCCCCTCCTCCTCCTCCTCCTCCTCCCTCCCTCCCTCCCTCCCTCCCTCCTCCCTCCCTCCCTCCTCCCTCCTCCCTCCCTCCCCCTCTCCTCCTCACATCATCATCATCATCATCATCATCATCATCATCATCATCATCATCATCATCATCATCATCATCATCATCATCATCATCATCATCCATCATCATCATCATCATCATCATCATCATCATCATCATCATCATCATCATCATCATCATCATCATCATCATCATCATCATCATCATCATCATCATCATCATCATCATCATCATCATCATCATCATCATCATCATCATCAGCATCAGCATCAGCATCAGCATCAGCATCAGCATCAGTATCAGCATCAGCAGCATCATCTTCATCCTCATCATCATCATCATCATCATCATCATCATCATCATCATCACCAGCAGCATCAGCATCAGCATCATCATCAGCATCAGCATCAACATCATCATCAACAGCATCATCGCCATCATCATCAGCAGCATTAGCATCATCATCATCATCATCATCATCATCATCATCATCATCATCAGCAACATCGGAATTGTCATCATCATCGTCAGCATCACCACCATCATCATCAGCATCAGCACCGTCATCATCATCATCATCATCATCATCATCATCATCATCATCATCATCATCATCACCATCACCATCATCATCATCCTCATCATCATCCTCATCATCATCCTCATCCTCATCAGCATCATCCCCATACTCCTACCCATCCTCCTACCTCGCTGGATCCTTTCTTGAGTGATCTCTGCTGTCCAACAACGGGGATCGCTCAAGGCTGGTCTGGATCACGCTGGCAGGGGCCCTCAGCCTGAAGCGCACGGCTCGCGGAACTGCTCCTCCCTCCAAAATGTCTGGCCGTGTCTGCCCCCCCCTTATAAGGCCTCCGGGATGGGCATCCGGAGACCTCCAGAGGCGTCTTGAGGCCAAAGGCCTCCCTCTGGAGCGTCGTAAAAGGATTCGAGGTCTTCTCTGGGCTTGCGCATCGAGACCCTTCAGTTCAGTAATTGTCGCCTGCCGAGTCGCCATGATCGCTGGGCTTAACGATTTCAGGAAGGCGTACTCCTGGTGCTTGCTGCTCCCAGGTATGGATGTGCCAGTAATTATAAGCCGATGTAAAACCCGTGGCAAAACTGGCATGCGTTCCATCTGGGGCCCGAAAAAACCATTTGGATGACGATACGCATTCGGCTGAGGAGTGCGGCCGGGCACTGACGGGAGCACACACATGAAAAACTTTAGACCAATGGGACCGTCAAACGACGCGCGAACTGAGAGCGGAAACTGCTCGACGGTCAGCCCACGACAACGCCGCGACATGCAACGCGAACGGCGCGCTGCTGCCGTGCCAACTGGCGTTTGAACTTGGCGTTTCCTTGTGCTGGCACGCGGTCCATGCCCAAAATCATGGCGGACACTCGCGCGCTCGTGCCAGGGGAAAAACCAGTGGGCGCGTCGTTTCCTGGCGGCGCTGGCGAGAGCCCCGCGCGGCGCCCGGGGTCCGACCCGCACGGGCGCGCATCGGAAAGGTTAGATCCGCCCCAAAGACAAAGTTTAGGCACCAGGCGAAAAAATAGAAACTCCATATAAAATCAATCTGGACTCTTCCGAAGCAGGATCCTGGGAATGCCGGCGCGGGCGCGGCCGCGTCGAGCGGGCCCAGGACGTCGCCGCGCGCGCGGGGCCCCCTCTGCGGCAGCTGGCAATGGTCTCGCCGACAGGGCGCCTACACTTCCGCACACTCGCCGTATATGCAAAACGCTGACATGTAAAATCCATAATTGTGGGGGCTGGGGTCGGCTTCCCACTGTCATTCGTGGCCCGCCGTAAAGAATATCTAGATCTAGAACACTAACCATAAGTATAACGATCGCTACAATTATAACTATAACTATAACTATAACAAGAACTATAACTATAACTATAACGATAACTATACACAAAACATATACGTATAACTGTAACTGTAACTATATCTATAACTATAACTATAACTATAACTATAACTAGAACTATAACTATAACTATAAATATAATTATGAATATAAATATAACTATAACTATAACTATAACTATAACTATAACTATAACTAAAACTATAAATATAACGATATCAATAACAACATGTATACCTATAATCATGCCTATACCTATAACTAGAACGAGAGCTATAACTATAACGAAAACTAAAACTAAAACTATAACCATAACCACAACTTTACCTATAAGTATAACTACAGCTATAACTAGTGCTATAAATATAACTGTGAATACAATACTAGCTATTACTACAACTATAATTATGACAACAGTTATAATTATTACTACGATTATGCGTTGACGTTAAATTTCTATGCAGCAACAAACAAAAGCAACAAACTTGTGGCGTTCCGCGCGCTGGAGCCCCCTCCCTGGCGCGCGGAGCGCGCCAGGGGCGGCGCAGGAGGCGCAGCCGGGGGGCCAGGCGCGGTTCCAAGAAATTCGCGCGGCGCGCCAAAACTTTATGTTTATGGCGCTTTCTTTTTCGATGGGTCTCGCGATTCGCTCCGCCTGCTCCCCCCCGCCCCGAGCCCAGAATCGAATCGATCAGTCGGATCGCTGATCGACATGAATCGGATCGGCGGAAATCGGCAGCCGAGTCGGGAAAAGTCGAATCGGCGGACCTCGACAAGCTAGTATGCCCCCAGTGAAGAAATCGGAACCCACATCGGGCTCCCAGGTCGAATCGAATCGGAATCGAAGCCATCGAAGTCGAATCGAATCGGAGGAACCGAAACGAGCCCCGCCACACGGCGGAACGGTACGGCCTCCGCTCGGCCAGCATGTGCAGGCCCCGCTCGTGGCCCTCTGGCGCGCCGACGCGCCCCCCCCCCCGCCTTGCGAGAGCACGCCAGGCCCATCCAGACCCGGGTCGGTCCGGGCTCGGGCCAGTCAGGCCTTGCAGGATCCGGCGAGACCCTGCAGGACCCCCAGACCCCCTCGCAATGTGGAACAAAAACTCGTTTGATCTGCAGGGCGAGAGCGAACCTCTTCCGCTGAAAGCTAAGCGGGACGCGCACAGCTTTAATTAGCAGAGAAAGGGCAGAAGAAGGCGGGGCTTCACGCGGCCAGGAGCGGGCGAAGCCCAGGGAGATGTGGAACAAAAACACGACGGGCGGTGTTTCGCTACTTTCGGCCTCCGGGAGCCCTCGCCGAGCCTCGAGAGCGTCAAAGCAAACTTAACTAGGACGAGAAACCGGTCTCCGGGAAGGGGACCAGACTTCTGATGGTCACGTCATGAAAAAATCACGACGTCGGAGGTCTGGGTCCGTAGGATCCAGCATCCAAGCCTGGATCAGTGCGCCACTGGCCTTGCAGAATCCTGCAAAATCTGGCGCTCTGACTGACACCCGTTTGCATTGACCCCCGCCCCAAGCCTCCCCGACGTTTCGACTTTGTTCGAGACACGAGCCCCCGACCTCCCCACCACTTCCCCGGCACTGGTTTTTCATCCCAAGTCGTTTTTTGACGGTCCCGAGGCCCGGCGAGGGCCCCGAGAGGACGAAAACGACGAAAAACATCCGTCTCGATTTTTTCGAGGCGCCCGATGTCCGAGGCGTCCGAGACGCCCCGTTTGCATCGACCCCCGCCCCTGGAGCCCCGAGCACGTCGCGCCTGCCCGTCGTCGGGCCGCACACTTCGCTGCGCCGTCTCCGCCCTCGCCCTCCCAAGAGGGGGGCGACGGCGCGCGCAGGGCCCCCCCTGGGCGCCCTCCGATCTTGGCCGGCTGCAGATCCGGGGGTGCCGGTGATGAAAACGGTCGGGGGCCAGAGGGGGGGGGGCAAGGTTCAGGGATCCTCCTCCTCCTCCTCCTCCTCCTCCTCCTCCTCCTCCTCCTCCTCCTCCTCCTCCTCCTCCTCCTCCTCCTCTGGTTCCTCCCTCCTCCTTCATCGGGTCGGACGGACAGGCGGGGGGGGGCAAGGAGGGGGTTAGAGAATCAACTCATGCAGCTTGTTTCTGGCGCCTCCCTGCGCTGGAGGCACCTGTCTATCGAGGGAAGACGCCGGCGGCGGGGCCGAAACCAGCTGCATGCAACAGGTTTCGTACCCCCACCCTTTCATATCTCCCCTTCGTCCGATCCGCCTCTCCCTTCCTGCTCCAGGGTTCCTTCATCGGCCCGTCTGGCCTTCCAAGAGGGCAAAAGGTTGCTCAGGAGCCATCACGCATCCTAATGGGCTCCAAGAAGAGTCCAGGCCCTTCTGAGAAGCACCCTGCCTTGTAGAAACGGAGGGCCGCCCCCCTGAGGCCTATAGTCAAGCTGCTACCACCAAGAACGCTCAGTGAGGAACGAAGCCCCGCTTTGGCCCCAAAAGCCACTGCGTGGACGAGGAGCACTAGAGAAACAGCCATGGAAAGACCTGAGGAGCATCGAGCCCCTTCCGAGCCCAAAATGTTCCTTGTTTTAGCGTCTCGACTGTATGCCCCCCCCCAGCGCGCCGCCGAAGGGGAGGGAGGGGGGGGGGGAGGGAAGGAGGGGGGAGGAGCTGGGGGCACCCCTCGGCCCTGCAGTCGGCCTCCTGCTTCCTCGGAGCAGAGCCCCAGCAGCCCGGCGCCCACGTCCAGCCAGCGGCCCGCCTCTCCACGGCGTGGGCCGCCGGCGCGGCGCAGCCTCGCCCCGCGGTTCCACGCGGCGGCCCCGAGCGCGCGGGCGGCGGCGCCTCCCGGGCACCCCGCGCCCCGCAGCCACGCCAACGCCTCCTCGAAGGGCTCGGCGCCGCCCGCGCCCCCGCCCGGGGCTCTGCACAGGCAGTCGACCAGGGCGCGCACGGCGGCGCTGCTCGCGGCGCCCGGGGCGGTGCCCGCGGCCGTGACCTTGGCCTGCCTGAGGTACCCCCGCAGGTAATCCGCTGCCACGAGCTCCTGCCCTGGGCACTCGGCCGCGCGCGCGGCCGCGCGCAGCAGAGCCTCACCTGGGACGCCGGCCGTGGCGAGCGCGGCCGGCGGCGATCCGCCGGCGCATCGCAGCAGGAGCTCCACCTCCACCAGAGCAGCCAGGGCCGCAGACGCGCGCCCCGGCGCGGCGCTGCTGCCCCCAGTCGCGCGGATCGCGCCCGTGGCGTCCTGCGCGGCCGCACGGCACAGCTCCGCGGCCGCCTCCCCTGCACCTTCCTCGCAGAGCTGCTGCGCCTGGCGGAGCCGAGCCCGACACAGCAGCAGCGTGCTCGCGAGGAGCCCCTCGCTCGACGACGGCCCGGCGAGGAGCGGGCTGAGCCTCTGCGCTAGGACGAGCAGCCCGCAGCAGTCCTCCAGAGCCCCGCTGGACTGCCACAGGCTTGCGGCACACGTCCACGCCGCGGCGAACGAGCGAGCAGCGAGCAGACGCGCCAAGGCACCCGCATCTGCGGCTTCGCCCGGCCCTGCCAGAGCGGAGCGTTCCAGAACCTGGACGACGAGCGCGAGGCAAGCCCTCAGGCGCTGCGGCGCCACCGCGCAGGCTTCCGCAATCTCCACCAGGCGCAAGCCAGCGCGCAGCAAGGGGGCGATGCGCGCCGAACAGGAGCTGGCGACGCCCCCACCCTCCTCGAGGCCATGGCAAGGGGCCCCAGCCTGGTCTTCGGCGTCCCCGCTGCGGACTAGCGCCTGCAGTCCAGCCTGGATGCAATCCAGCGCAGGCGCGCACGGCGGAATCAATGACGCCTCTGCGAGCAGCCCAAGCGCCGTCTCCTTGCCCACAGCCCCCTGCCAGCACAGCGCTCCCAGGCGGCGCGCCACCTGCCCGTCGTCGCCGCAGGCCGCAGCGCAGACAATGCGCAGCACTTCCACGCGGGCGTCTGGACCGTTGGCCCCGCCATCGGCCAGCGAAGCGAGCGCATCTGCGGCCGCGGGTGCCTGGCCCGCGCGCCAGAGCGCTACGGCGCACGCAGCGCGCAACTCTGGCGGGTTGCCTGCCAGCCGCGCGCAGTGCCCGAGCCACTCGGCGGCCAGCGCCCATCGGCCCACGCGGCACGCCGCGGCCGCCAGGCCCCGCAAGCGCAGGCACAACGACCGCAACACGTCGTCGTCGCCGGGCACGCTCGCCGCAGGGGCCCGCAGATCCTGGAGAGCCAGCAGCAGCTCGCGGGCCGCGACGCTGCCCGCGTCACAGACCCTGGTCTCGGAGTCGCCGGGGCGGGGACCGCGCTCGGCCCCGCCGTGCGCGGGGCCTTCGGGGTCAGACACGGTGCCCGCGAGGGCGGCGCGCGCCAGCAGCGCGGCCGCGCGCGCCCGCTCGGGCGCCTCGCTTGGGTGGGTGCTCTTGCTGAACTCCACGACGCATCGGAGGCCAAGGGGGCTGCCGATCAGAAGGCCGCAGGCCGCCAGGCGGCTCCTTGCCGGCGTCGCTGCGTGGGCCGCGAACTCCACGACCGCGTCCTCGAGCTCGGCCTGGCTCCGCGGCGGGCTTCCCTCCGCGCCTCCGCCCGCCAGGGACGCGGCCAGGGCGCCGGCAGCCTGTCCCAGCGCGCACTCCTCGCCCCCCTGCGCGCCCCTGGCCGCGGCGCACTGCTGAAACAGCCAGGCGGCCGCCGCGGCGCCCGCGGCGCCGCACGCCTCCCGTGCCAGCAGCGAGCGATCCGAGTGGTGCGGCTCCTCCTCTGCTTGCCCCGCCGCCGCGCTTGCCGCGGCCGCTGCCAGCTTCCAGGCCGCCGACAGCGCGGCGACGGCCTCCGCGTGGGCACCCAGGCGCGCCGGCGAGGCGAGCCGCGGACCGCCGTGGCTAGCGCTCGGCGCAGGCTCCGCGGGGCCTGCGGCCTGCGCCGCCTCGCCCGCGCGCCACGCGGCGGCCACCACCTCGGCGGCGCTCCCGAAGCAGCGCGCGGCGGCCAGGCCATCGCCCGCGTCGAGGGCGGCACGCCCCGCCGCAGCCCAGGCGGCGCCGAGCGCCTCGAGGGGCGCCGCCGCGGCGGCCTCGCTGGGCGGCGCGGCCCGCGGCGCCCCCGCCGCGGCGGCGGGCCCGCCGCGCCAAAGCGCCACGGCCAGCGCCTCCGCGCGCTGCCCGGCGGCGGCCGCCAGCGCGGGCAGCCCGGGCGGGGCGCCCTCCCCGGGCGCGGCGGCCGCCGCGCACGCCGCGCGGGCGCAGAGCTGGGGCAGGCTGGCCCTCGCTGGCTACACGCAAGAGTGACCCTAGGCAAGAGTGACCTTTCGTGCTAGAGGCCTCCTAGATGGGGTCTGAGTAGATGGGGTCGGAGGATCTCGCCGCATCGGCCATACATTGGCGACGTCGGCGATACATCGGCGACGTCGCGAGCCGCATCGCTGATGCATCGCCTATGCATCGGCGATGCGGCGCGATCCTCCGACCCCAGCTACCCCGACCCCATCTAGGAGGCCTCGAGGTGCGCCGCGGGCTGGCCAGATGCAAGCGCGCAGGCGAGTGCTGCGGGGACACCTGTCGGGGATATACTGACCCAGATCAATCCAAATCAGGGTCAGTCGGGCATTGCAGGATCCTGCAGCATGCTGCACCCAGACCCGGGTCGATGCGACCCCGGCTCTGCAGGATCCTGCAAGATCCGGCGCCCTGGCCTACCCGCGCTTGCACTGACCCCCGCCCCTTGGGCTCCGAGCGCTCGCACCAAAGGCCACTCGCGCCGAAGCCGACCGGCCACAACTGGGGGAGCTGTGGTCCATACCCCCCCTGGGGGAACCCCTCGCGTCGACGATCTCTCGAGAGGGGTGTCGAAATCGATGGGTCCCCCAGGCGGGCAAGGACCTCAGCTCCCCCAGTGGTGGCGGGCCTGCGAAGGGTCCCCCGTGCGCGAAGCCGACCTCAGGTCTGCGCAGCTCTGGCCAGGCTGGGCGGGCCGCGGCCGCGAGCGGCCGCGGGTGGGCGGCGTCTGCTCCGGCTCGGGGCGGCGTCGGCCGACCACCTCGCCGACGATGCTTGGGCCCATCCTGGGCCCAGGATTCGGACCCTCCTCCTGACTCCTCCTCCTCCTCCTCCTCCTCCTCCTCCTCCTCCCCCTCCTCCTCCTCCTCCTCCTCCTCCTCCTCCTCCTCCTCCTCCTCCTCCTCCTCCCCCTCCTCCTCCTCCTCCTCCTCCTCCTTCGCTCAGCGACCCGACACACCAACGCCAAGATGGGCCCATGTCTGGGCCCATCCTGGTACGGAAAAAAACGTACAAGGCCCAACAACACATGCTGCCACAACCCAACAGCGGCCGCCGCTGGGCAGGCGGCTTTCTGCCCCAAGTGGGCACCAGTCCGCGGCGACACCGACAGCGAATCCGGTTCGCAACGAAGAGGAGCTGCCGTCGGTCGTCGTATCCATTCTTTTCGTGCCCGTGTCAATCGTCCCGACAGGGTCGGTGTCCAGGCCCTGGCTTTGTCCGGGAGGCGTGGACTCCACGGATCCTGGGCCCAGGATCGGCCCGGCCAGGATCGGCGAGGTGGCCCCCCGCGATCCGCCGCTGCGAAAGAAGTGCTACCTCGAGAAGGATCACACCCGGACTTCTGAGAGCCGATCTTTCTACTGCCTCCTCCAGGCAGGATCGACCTGTGAATGGTCCTGGGGCCCGCAGACGGGCGATGACGCTCTCGGCGAAACGCCCGCTGTGAAAACATGCAGCACCTGGATCTGAGGCTCAGTCGACGTCCCCCGATCTGGAGTGGCCTGGGCATCGGCCTGCTGCGTGCCTACCAAATGCATCGCACGCAGGCGGGGCCGCTGCCAGCCGTGGGGGGGGGGCACCGAGGAGAATGCGGAGGCTTGGCCTGGCGAACTGGGGCGCGGCTCGAGAGGCGACGGCAGCAGGCGCCCCGTTGTTCCTGTTCCTCCTCCTCTTCCTCCTACTCCTCCTCCTCCTGCTCCTGCTTCTGCTCCTGCTCCTGCTCCTGGAGCATCTCCTCCTCCTCCTCCTCCTCCTCCTCCTCGGCCTCCGCTCATCTTCCTCGTTGCCTGCCCCCTCCTGCCTCCTTCTCATCCCTCCCTCTTCCCTCTGCCCTTTTACCACCATCATCACCATCAGCATAATCATCATCATCATCATCATCATCATCATCATCATCATCATCATCATCATCATCATCATCATCATCATCATCATCATCATCATCATCATCATCATCATCATCATCATCATCATCATCATCATCATCATCATCATCATCATCATCATCATCATCATCATCATCATCATCATCATCATCATCATCATCATCATCATCATCATCATCAGCATCATCATCATCATCATCATCATCATCATCATCATCATCATCACAACCACCACCATCATCATCATCATCATCATAAGCAGCAGCATCAACATCAGCACCAGCATCATCATCAGCATCATCAGCATCAGCACCAACATCATCATCAGCATCATCAGCATCATCAGCATCATCATGAGCATCATCATCAGCATCATCACCAGGATCAGCATCATCATCATCATCATCAGCATCAGCATCATCATTATCATCATCATCATCAGCAGCAGCAGCAGCATCAACATCAGCAGCAGCATCAGCATCATCATCAGCATCAGCATTATCATAATCATGATCATGATCAGATCACCATCATCATCAATATCACCATCATCAGCATCACAATCATCATCATAAACAAAAATCGCCATCGTAATCGTCATCGTCATCGTCATCGTAAGGATCATCAACAGCATCATCATTAGCAGCACCATCATCATCATCAGCAGCAGCATCATCATCACCATCAGCATAATCATCAGAATCATCAGCAGCAGCATCAGCATCATCATAAAATCGTCATCGTCGTCGTCCTCGTCATCGTGAGCAGCTCATCAGCCTCATCATCAGCATCAGCAGCAGCATCATTACCATTATGGACATTGTCATCGTGATCGGCATCGTCGCTATAATCATCATCATCAGAAGCAGCAGCATCGCATCCTCATCCTCATCCTTGTCCTCATCCTCATCCTCATCCTCACATTCATCCTCATCCTCATCAGGCTCATCATCAGCATCATCAGCATCATCAGCATCGTCCTCGTGATCTGAACCATCTCATCAGCCTCATAAGCATCAGCATCACCAGCACCATCATAATCAGCATCCTCATCATCAGCAGCGGCATCATCTTGATAAGCATAATCATCAACAACATCAGCAGCAGCAGCCTCATCTCACAATCTCATCATCACAATCATCATCAGCAGCAGCATCATCATCGCCATCGACGTCTGCGTCATCGTCATCGTCATCGTCAGCATCAGCATCATCATCACCATCAGCATAATCATCATCAGAATCATCATCATCATCATCGCCAGCATCATTATGACGTCATCATCATCAAAATCAGCAACATCGTCGTCATGATCGTCTTCATCATCATCATCATCATCATCAGCAGCATTGGCATCATCATCAGCATCAGCACCAGCATCATTATCAGCATCAGCATCTTCCTTATCATCATCATCTTTTTCATCATCTTTTTCATCATCATCATCATCATCATCATCATCATCATCATCATCATCATCATCATCATCATTAGCATCATCACCACCATCAGCATCCTCATCATCGTCATACCCCTCATCATCATCATCATCATCAGCCTCACGAGTAGCAGCACAATAGCAATCATTATAATCAGCATGATCATCACCCTCTTCCTCGTCCTCGTCTCCTCCTTGATCCATTACCGGTCCTCCATCGTCATACCCCCGTGTCCCTTCTCTCCCCCTCGTCCCTTCCTCCCCCTCCTCCACACATCGGCATATGCGCCATGTTCAGGAACATGGTCGTCGATGTTCCCAAGCTGAGGCTGCCGCCAACAGAACAACCTCCATCATCCCTACTGGTGAATTGAGGTTGCCACATGTTATTACAATCAGGGCCCATCCAACCCAGCCCACTCGCAATACATGCGAGATGGAACAATCAATGGCACAGGAGCACAGGAGAAACATACATGACAATCGTAACATGAGATGAATCCGTGAAAAAGTAAACGAAGACGGCAGGAAAACAAGCTGCAAAGCACGGCGGACGAAACCCGATCACAAATAACGACGGAAAAGCACGGCGCACGAAAGAACCGCACGGACCATGTACATAC